AATTATCCAATAAAAATACAAGTATAAAATAACTAATATTAATAAAATATATATAAAAATCTATATTATAACAATATTAATTTTTAAAAAAACAAGAAATAAATTAATAAATTTTTTTAGTTCTTTTTTATAAGCTAAGTATAAATTAATACTGATATTTATTTATTTATTTTTAGAATTATTAGATTTATTTATAAATAATATAATTTTTATTTTAATTTAGTAATTTCAAATTATAATTAATATTATAATATTTTATACTATTATAGAAAATTAATTATATCTAGAATATTCAAAGAAATACTTGATTTATTTAAGATACAAGTAAAATTATAAGCTTTAATCTAATTTTTAACAAGAATTTTTTGATAATTTATCTAATTAAATATTAATTAATTTATTATTAATATATTAATTATCAAAAATTCAATTATACTTATCTTAAAAAAATTAATTATATTTATATCACAAGATTAGAAGTATATAATTATATTTAATAATAAATAATAAATATAAATATTAAACAAATTTTTAATTATATCATTAATAAAATATGTTGATGTATTATCTATTAAAAACAAAATCTTTTAATATTAAATTTATATTTAATAATTATGTTTTTTCAGATAATTATTCATATTAAAACTTATATTTATGCAATCTTATTCTAATAATAATAAATATTTAACTAATTCTTATCAATTTCTTTTAATACTTATGATTATATATATTAATAAATAAGTAAAGATTTTAACTTTTCTTTATCAGTAACATTGTATATTAATAAAATTATAATGTATTTTTTTGAAACTTTTATTTCTTATGCTAGAACAAAAGCAAATATAAAAATTTTACTTGTTAATAAAGATTTAGTAATAGATTAAAAAATAATTAATCAAATAAATTTAATTTTAAATATACCTGTTTCATCACAATTAAATATAATATATTGCTGATAATTTTTTGCAATTTGTTATGCTTCTCATCTAATATTTCAAAAAAAGCACTTTAATCTTCATTAATTTTCACATAAGATCATATATTATGACATTGTTTAAAATTGAAAAGCCATCTATATAATTCATTAAAGTTTTCAATATGCGCAAAGATCTTGGCTTTTTCTTGCAAAACTTCATTCATTATAGTATGATTTGCAATAAGAGCTTGAGATAACCAAAGAGTCAAAGCATCTTCAACTTGAGGAAGCTTGCCATTGGTACAGTTTTTTTGTTTAGCTTGGTGAGAGTTTGGATCAATGGCTAACCATTTTTCTTTTTGTTTTAGAATATCAGAAACAGTATTGGCTTTAATGCCAAAAGATTTTCCTAATTCTTCTTGGTTAAGTTTAGGGTTTTCAAGGTGTTGGATACAAATATTGTGTTTTTGCAAGATAGTTAAATGAACTCTAGAACGCTTAATAATTGTTGAAGCTTCAGATATTTTTCTGTTGTTAGCATTGACTTGGTTCATTTTTGAATAGATTTACGTGTCAAACATTCAAAAAAATTGAACGCGTTTTTAATTTATATTTGTGAAACATCGGTATAAAACTTTAAAAAATATCGCTTATCGTAATATCGCGATGCTATTTTCTATAGTCAGGACAATAATCTATCTCGTTAAATCGTAAATTGTAAGAATACTATTGATATTCGGTAAATTAAGCTAATTTTATATATAGTGAACCGGGGAATTATATTTTATTCGGTATATGTCAATATCGTTAAATCGTCACATCGCTAAATCAAGCTTTGACTGTACTCTGATTATCTTACGTGGTGGATATTGAATCATTAAAATGTTACGAGCAAAGCAAGCTGATGCGTCGAGTAACGTCACAAGTTCACTTTGTCTTGTTTTTGTTACAGCACGCCTCATATTATAGTTGTATAATTTGTATAGTTTAAAACTTTTAAAACTCGAGATCTCCATTAATGTTTTGATCGGACGATTTTGCACTCCTATTGGCTAGGGTCACGAAGATTTTTTCTATTGGCTAGATCGTTTATTGCGGATATAGCTGATAAAGTTTTTGGGCCAGAATGTATTTTTTTACGCCGCGAATACGTGTAAATAAAGTTTAAGGGCTTTTTTTAATTTACGACACAAACGGCAAATTATCGACTATCAGTTAACTAATAATGATAATGATATACTCTTTCTTTTTTCTTTATATGAAAAGATTTGTTTCAACAAGTTATTATACATCTGTATATATCCTCATCATGGAGGTGTATTGTATGTTATCTATTACTTATCACAATGAATTGATGAATTTAGCGTAATTGTTTCTTGATTTAGAGACATCCAGCGTGTTTATAGGTGAGTGATGTGATTATATCATCATTGAAAGCTAAGTTCTTTTTTTACCTTTATTTCCTGCTTGAAAGCAAAGATGAACTGATTTTAGTCTTGGATCGCCATCAACGAAGGCAGGAGTAAGTGATTAAAATATTCTTGGTGTATATTTAACAGCATTTATGTATATTTTATTAATTATAATCTTTTCACACGGATTTCGTGGGGGTTAATGTCAACAATAGTTATAAAGCTATATAGGAGATCATACGATCTCTATTATTTGTAATTTAGAATAGAATTCGAAAGTGCGAAGGAATCGTATGATTTTTTGGTGGAACACTCCATTTTTTTTTATTGTTGTTTAGTATTATTTCATGCGTGGCATTCGGATCTAAAAAATGAACTGGGCTCCTTTATTTTATTTACTTTGTTTAATTTAATTTATTGAAACGGCTTTTTTGGGATTTATTTTGTGTTGTGTATTTGTGCGTAGTTGTTTCATAATGAGGTGAGGTAGTGCGAGATCTCATCGGAAGACGCGCTCGCAGAAAAAGATAACTTACAGAAGGATGATGGGCTCTTGTGTGAGTATTGCTATTCACTATCTGTCTTCCCCTCTTTTTTTTTTTTTTTTTTTTTTTTACAAGAGTAAGCTATTTTTATAAAATGTATCGTTGCATTATCACGAATATCATCATTTAATAACTTTTTCCCATCCAAACATTCGTCATTTATATAGTGAAAACGACGCGTGCACGCGCGCGGATGTATGATAATAGACAAATATATGTATATATTTATATTCAATATATTTTAACTTTATTAATAAATGGTTGATTGGTCGAAAGAAGATCGGATGATTTACTTAAGCAAAAACAATGGATCTGGCGTAAACGATAACAACACGCTACCATCAATATATTTATTACTTCACAATTTTATATAAAAACTGTAGTTCATCCCCCATTTAACATTTTCATCATGTATTTTGGAAAATACCGTCACAGAGAAAAGAGAAAGAGCATCACATGTCCTACCTACATAAACGCACGTGTATGTTTTTTATCATAAAGGAAAAAGAATAAGAAGAAGAATAATAAATAAGTACGATAATTGATACCTGAAATTTGCAATTATTATTACCAAAGTCCACTCCCAAAGAAGAAAACAAAGGCAGCAGCATTATCTATAATCAATAAAATGGGCGTCACACCGGCATCGTCAAAATCGAAGCATAGTCAGCAGCATTACTATAATAATAATAATCATCATTATAGCAATAATTACATGTGTCATCATCATCGTCGCCAACAATTGCCCACTTCTCCGACCATCGACTCTCGCTTTCAACAGTTATTCCGTTACCAAGAATTTCAGCAACAACTACATTTACAACAATTTCTCGCTCTTCATAGCACAAAAGGTAGAAGTAGCCAAAGTACTTGTAGCAGCAGCAGCAGCGGCAGCAGTAGTAGTAGTAACCATAATAGTAATGATAATAATAACGAGGATAATAAACAGGATAGCGTGAAAACGTACGATAATATCTTTGACACAATATTGGATAGTTTCTCTATACCTATCGAATCCTTAGTTGAGGCAACTTCTGTGAAACGACATCAAGCAGTTAAAAAGCTCCGTAAAAAGAAATTGGAGAATAAAAACTTGTCAAAAAGTTCTTTATTTGAAAAAGGTGCGAGAACTACCTCCTCAATTCTATTTCAACAACTAGAGCAATCAGAACAACCAACTTCAAAACCACAGGCATTAACGGATATTGATAAAGAAGACCAAATGGTTGAGGAAACTCATTTGACTTCCAGCATGACCGCCACTCTGACAAAGAAGCCCACAACGACAAAGACGACTCATAATACAACAACACCACCAGCAATTCAAAACAGTCGCGAGTCAATAGACGAACATTGTATTAACGCCGCTTGTCTTAAATTTTCCTTTAATTATTATTCACTTCGAATGCTCATACTGTTCTTACTCGGATCCCTTACCTCGTTTATAATTGATCATTTACTCACGCAAAATCACATCACACAATACCCAAAGGACATTGTTAAACTGGTGAACACCGCTGCTTGGATACCACCTACTTGCGGTTTTTCAGCGGTATTGGTGGGTTCAATGTTTCCATTGGCGGATTATTGGTTTCAAAAAAAACCACAGGAATTTCAGCGAGAATGGAGTAATGTCATGAGGTTTGTTTCGTTTTTATATTTTGATCGATAAGGGATGATGATGACACGAGAGCATAGATTTTTATGCAGGAGTTTATCTATGATAAAAATGCCGACGCGCGTCTTTTCCCTAATTATCTATTTCATAAAAAAAGTACGCGTTTTGCTAGTCATACGCTGCTTGCGTAACAATGATGTCATCTAGCATGTAAGACGTGTCATGAAGACGATGGACGAGAATGCTGAATTTAAGTACCTAATTTGCATTCATTAACCATCACGTTCATTTCATCTTTATTTTCTAACTTGAAATAGATGTTTGGGAGGATTCATTGGCGTCGCATATGCTGCAACGGTAATTATTACTTGATTGATAAAAAAAATCTCTCGTTTAATGATAATTTTATTTAACAAATGTTGATAATAACGATAAAATAGAAATTACCGTGGAATAGTAGTTCGCAAGTTTCGTTGACATTGGCATTAATTTCGGTGGTATTATGGTTTCTTTTTGATCGAACGTTCCACGGATTTGTGATGTCGGTGCTATTTTCGTCGATAGGTACAGGTGTGATGTACGTATTAGTTTCTTGTGGAATATACAGGTGAGTGGGATGTGGGGATATGATAGGATAGAGATGGCAGTAACGTAGACTATATCTCTCAAGTCATATGTTACTTTTTGTTTCTTAAATATAACGATACTTACTTCCAATTATCAAAAAAAAAATAGCTTCACTGAAGCAGACTTTTTTGGCGTAAGATCTTGGATCCCTGTGAGTAGTCTGCTTTTTCATCTTTGATATTGTTCTCGACTGCGCATATATCATGTGTCGCCCACTTGATATTTCATTACATGAAATCTATATTAACAAAATCTATTTGTTTGTTTACCTATAAATTAATAAATGTGCTGCATCGCGCATTCCCATTTATTCTTTACATCCATTCATTAATACTACGACACGCGGTTGCAGTGTATCTTATATGCCTCTTGTGTATGCTTTGGAACGGTCGGACGACAATTAATGATTGTCCCTGAAGAATGGTTTGAAGAACGCGAAAAACGAGAACATAATATCAAAAAATTAAAATAAATATTAATGTGAGAGATGCGAGGTTGGATCTGTGTTGAGTGATGTTAATGAATCTCGGTGATGATGTGGTTCATTT